ATCGGTGGGGCTTTCTATGGGGCCACGAAGCGCTACAATGAGTGGGGGGGGCGCATGTGGGCGGTGCCACTGAGGCCTTCGGTGGAGCTCCCTCTGAGGCCACGAAGCGCTGCGCTGGGAGGGGGTGGCGCATGCGGGCGGTGTCACTAGGGCTTTCGGTGGAGCTCCCTATGGGGCCACGATGCGCTGTACGGGGGGGGGGGGGGCATGCGGGCGGTGCTACTGGGGCCTTCGGTGGAGATCCTTACGGGCCGCGAAACGTTGTATTAGGTGGGGGTGACGCATGCGGGCGGTGTCACTGGGGTCTTCGGTGGAGCTCCCTATGCGGCCACGAAGCGTGGAAGGGATGACACGCGGAGAGCAGAAGAAGGGGCGCTGATGATGATGACGCTGCTCACGACGTCAATGACGAACAAGACAATGATGATAATGTGTATGCTGGTGTTGATGCTGTTGATGATGCTGATGCTGATGGTGATGGTGATGGTGATGGTGATGCTGATGATGATGACGATGCTGCTGATGATGATGGTACTGATGATGATAATGATGATGGCCATGATGATGATGGGGATGATGATGCTGATGATGATGATGATGATGGTGATGATGATGATGATGATGATGATGATGATGATGACGATGATGATGATGATGGAGATGATGCTTATGACGATGATGATAAGGATGACGATGCTGCTGCTGCTGCTGCTTCTGCTGCTGCTGATGATGATGCTGATGCTGATGGTGATTCTGATGCTGATGCTGATCATGATGGAGGAGGGAGGAGGAGGAGGAGGAGGAGGAGGAGGAGGAGGAGGAGGAGGAGGAGGAGGGAAGGAAGGAAGGAAGGAAGGAAGGACGCAGTGACGCGAGGCGCTGTCTCTTCAAAACAAGGACCCACCACCACAGGACTGTTGGGGAACACAGATTCCGAAAGTTTGGTTTATTGGGGCTTCCCTGGAAAGCTGCAGTTCCAACATGGTTTCATCATGGGGCCAACTGGGGCGAGGCTATTGCGATCTGTTCTGGGCTATCTTGGGCGGCCTTGGAGTTGGGACTATCTGGTGGCGTGCGGCCAATCTCGCCACGCTCCTCGGGGGCTTTGCCAGGGCTTCTAGTAGGTTCTAGGATTTTTCCCAACCATCCTGTGGTGTTGGGTCCTCGTTTTGAAGAGACGGTGGTCCGCGTCTCCTCCTCCTTCTCTCCTCTCCACCCACCCATTCGGCACACCCCTCACACGTTTCGTGGCCCCATAGGGAGCTCCACCGAAGGCCCCAGTGGCTGCCGTCCGCATGCGTCCCGCGCCCATTTCGGCACACCCCTCACACGTTTCGTGGCCCCATAGGGAGCTCCACCGAAGGCCCCATGGCTGCCGTCCGCATGCGTCCCGCACACCCATTTCGGCACACCCCTCACACGTTTCGTGGCCCCACAGGGAGCTCCACCGAAGGCCCCAGTGCTGCCGTCCGCATGCGTCCCGCACACCCATTTCGGCACACCCCTCACACGTTTCGTGGCCCCACAGGGAGCTCCACCGAAGGCCCCAGTGCTGCCGTCCGCATGCGTCCCGCACACCCATTTCGGCACACCCCTCACACGTTTCGTGGCCCCATAGGGAGCTCCACCGAAGGCCCCATGGCTGCCGTCCGCATGCGTCCCGCACACCCATTTCGGCACACCCCTCACACGTTTCGTGGCCCCACAGGGAGCTCCACCGAAGGCCCCAGTGCTGCCGTCCGCATGCGTCCCGCACACCCATTTCGGCACACCCCTCACACGTTTCGTGGCCCCATAGGGAGCTCCACCGAAGGCCCCAGTGGCGTCCGCACACACCCTCGGCACACCCCTCACACGTTTTCGTGGCCCCCATAGGGACGTTTCGTCCACCGAAGGCCCCATGGCTGCCGTCCGCATGCGTCCCGCACACCCATTTCGGCACACCCCTCACACGTTTCGTGGCCCCACAGGGAGCTCCACCGAAGGCCCCAGTGCTGCCGTCCGCATGCGTCCCGCACACCCATTTCGGCACACCCCTCACACGTTTCGTGGCCCCATAGGGAGCTCCACCGAAGGCCCCATGGCTGCCGTCCGCATGCGTCCCGCACACCCATTTCGGCACACCCCTCACACGTTTCGTGGCCCCACAGGGAGCTCCACCGAAGGCCCCAGTGCTGCCGTCCGCATGCGTCCCGCACACCCATTTCGGCACACCCCTCACACGTTTCGTGGCCCCACAGGGAGCTCCACCGAAGGCCCCATGGCTGCCGTCCGCATGCGTCCCGCACACCCATTTCGGCACACCCCTCACACGTTTCGTGGCCCCACAGGGAGCTCCACCGAAGGCCCCAGTGCTGCCGTCCGCATGCGTCCCGCACACCCATTTCGGCACACCCCTCACACGTTTCGTGGCCCCATAGGGAGCTCCACCGAAGGCCCCATGGCTGCCGTCCGCATGCGTCCCGCACACCCATTTCGGCACACCCCTCACACGTTTCGTGGCCCCATAGGGAGCTCCACCGAAGGCCCCAGTGCTGCCGTCCGCATGCGTCCCGCACACCCATTTCGGCACACCCCTCACACGTTTCGTGGCCCCATAGGGAGCTCCACCGAAGGCCCCATGGCTGCCGTCCGCATGCGTCCCGCACACCCATTTCGGCACACCCCTCACACGTTTCGTGGCCCCACAGGGAGCTCCACCGAAGGCCCCAGTGCTGCCGTCCGCATGCGTCCCGCACACCAGGTGTGTGGCGTGCCGACATGGGCGTCGCGGCGCGCGGGCGCTGCCGTCGGGGTTCCCAGGGAAGCCCCCTGCAGAGGCGACGCTCAGAGTCACGAGTACCGAGAGTCACGCAGACCCAAACTGTTCACAGTCGTATACATACATTTACACTGGGCGTATCCATGCACGCATTCATGCGAATAGAATCAATCGCGCGCAGATTCATTCATAATCAGACTCGCTCGCGATCCGACTCGCACGCGCTCAAGCTTTCATATTCGGACCTATCGTCTTCGTTCGTGTTGTGTACACTGCCACGCATTTCGGCACACCCCTCATACGGCTCGTGGCCCCATAGGGAGCGCCACCGAAGAAGATATTCACAATTGCGGTACTCTCAACTGCATATGGTTGGGTCCTTCTCCATGCTAATTGTTTAGCATCCATGTTGGTTTAGGGGGGGCTCTTGGAGGATCTCAGGGGGACCTTCTGGAAAGTTCTGGGGAGTTTGGGGTCCGTCTTGGTGGGGAAGAGGTCCTGGCATTTCCTGGCTGCATGGCTTGGGGCACCCCCTGGCCAGAGTACATGAAGCATGTTGGGCCCCAGGGAACTCAGCCGCCGCGCCCCCCAGGCACACGGGAGCGTCAAAGAGTCCCGACGAAAGTCGGGGGGGCCCGGGCCTGGCCTCTCGGAGCCCTGTACTCCCCGTGCCAGCTGCCGCTCGCAGCCGCACGAGTCTCCGGGCACTCCGCCGCGTGCTCAGGGCACGGTGGCGGATCCTCAAGCAGTGGCGAAGCGTCCCGGCCTGCCCACAGGCCCACCAAAGGACGTTCTAAGAACTTTCGGTGGTGTGCACATGATGTTCTCACAATGTTTCTGGTCGGGACCGTCTTCGTTTAATGCATCGGCTTCATGTTCTAAGAACAGTGCCTTCGTTCTTAGAGCATGCTTTAGTTCTACGAGCATGTCGCTGTCGGCCTGTAGGAATGCTGGGGCGGTCGGTCCCTGCCCAGCTCAAGGCACGGTGGCGGATCTTGGGCCACAGTGGAGCCATCTTGGGGGCTCCTGCGGCTGATGGCTCGGTGGGCCCTTTGGGGGCCTTGACGGCCCATAGGCTGCACGGGCGGGCACGTCGCTCACAGCATCTTCCGCGGGGATGTTGGGCCCCTTCGGCGGAGCAAGGGGGGTGGTTGACAGCTAAGCATCTCCACGCGCTGTCACCCTGGGCAGACTTCTGACGTCGTGGCTTTTCGAGACGGGGGCCCTGGACCTCTTCCCGGGGATTGTTTTTCGTCGCAGAGAGTTTGTTGTTTCAGCAATGGTGCCCCGAAAGCGCCTTCCAAATGCCGAAAAAGATGCAACAATTATGAGTGACCGTTAGAGATCCTGGGTCGGCGGATTCGACCAGTGACTCTGCAGAGTCTTTGGCGCGGGGACTTTCGGTTCCGTCTTCTCAAGCCATTCGGCGGCGACCCCGGCCGGCACCGCCGATGCCCGATGTGCCGGCAGTGAGGGGCATGCTTCCAACGCACTGTGAGGCGGGAGACGCGTGACGGCACGGCCGGACGCGTGCTGAGTAGGGGCGGGGCGCAGGCGCGTGCTAGTTAGGGGTCAGGCGCAGACGCGTGCTAGGTAGGGGCTGGACGCGTGCCAGCGCGACTGGACGCGCCCGAAGCGAGTGCAGCCCGACGCGTGCCTGCGAAACAGGGTCCTGATCCCGCCCAGACGACGGGAATCTTGGGGGCGTTAGCGCCCCAGGAAAACCATGACTCTGCAAACCAGGACTTTTGCCACATCCGTCTGGAGAAGGCGAAGGATGGATAGTGTATGAGAGTGCTTCGACACGCGGCCGCAGTTTCCTGGGGTGCGCCAAGCCCCGAGGGCGCCCAAGACGCCCCCTTGCAGCCTGGCCCCTTCGGCTCACCCTCCAGGACGGGGCCCTCTCCAGCCAGCTGCTCACATCTTGTGGGGATGGTGGCAGGGCCGTGACGAAAAAGAGGGTCGTCCTTGGAGGGGGGCGGTTGTTGGCCGCGCCCGGGGAATAGCGAAGTGGTGAACCTCTATGGTAGAGATCCCGGAGAAACCGAGTGACTCGCGTCGTACCGAAAGAGCGCTCTCGGAGACTGTTTGGGATTCAAGACGGCACAGGAGAGCGCTCAGAGGTCACCAAGACGGCCCATGAATGGCATCAAGGGCCCATAAGGGCCCATGACGCACCAAGAGCCCCCCGATGTGAACAATCGTTTGTGTTCTCCGTGGTTTGCTTAGCAGGCTTTTCGGCTCGTCTAAGTGGCCTCCGTAGTGCTTCCGAGGACCCCAGGACGGTTCAAGAGAGGCCCACGATGGCCGCAAGAGAGCTTGTACCCATTCGGGCTCGAGAACCGCGCCAGTGGCCCCCGCGGGGGCTAGCTAGTCCATGGCGGGCCTGGAGACTGGCCTCTTACTCGATGACGGCACTGCGACGGGTGGTTCCTGCCAGGCCCGCCCAGCCTTCAGTGCGCGTCTCGCGATTAGCGTCTTCTTCTTGGGCGCCCTGAGTCTCAACCAGTGCGGGCGGCGTCCAGTGCCATCAACGCCACGGACTTCGCGGACTGGCCCGACGACTCGACTCCATCACGGCAGCCCCAGCGACGGAGCGACGGATGTGAATGAGAGCGATCAGCAGGTTCAGGCGGTGGCGCGGATCACCGAAGTACCCCGCACGGAGAACCGGGAGAGCGTCACGATCTTGCCTCAGACCCGCTTGACGGCCGCGGCAGCTGGCGTCGCCGCACTGCCCTCCCATGCGGACGTCAACGTCTCTAACGCCTCCACGCGTGCGACGCTCCTTTCGACGAGGCAGCCGATGGCCCTGAGTTTGCTGAGCTTGCCTCACTGGTACATCTTTTCGAGGAGGTTCTGGGGTTGCGGCGCCCGCTGGATCGGAGTCACACTGGTGGCGTTCTGTGGCGGCCCCCTGGTAATTCCTCTGTTTTTTTGTGGCTTGGCACTCGTCGGTTTCACTTCCCGCGGCGTGATGCATGGCTCTTGTGCCGCCTGCTGTCAGGCCCAGGCGGGTACTGTAGCAGCAGGGTCATGCTTTGCATGTGCCCAGTCTGTGGCGGCGAGAGGTATGATAGCTTCATGCAGTCCACCAGTGTTGCTTTCGACAGCGACTGTTAGTGCCATGGTTGCTCTAGTCGTCATGTATTTCTCTCACTGCCAATACTTTCCAGATGTCTGTTGCTCTGCTGATTGGTAGAGACGAGCTCTCTTCCTCCTTTCTGTCCTTTTACTCCTCGGTCTTCTTGTGCTTCACATTCGCAAATCACAGTTCATATTCGGCTTCTGGCGGAAGTGGGGCACGCAGCTATGGTCTCCTGTGGTTTCCCGACGATGGATCGGCTGGTAAGACAAGAGTGAGGGAGAGAGAGAGAGAGAGAGAGCCCAGAGAGAGGGCCCCAAGACAGACCAAGAGGGCCGTTGAAGCGGCCCAAGAAGCGCAAAGCGGAGACCCCTATGACCTGAGAAGATCAGGCCCCTCGGGTTGCCAAAGGGTCGCATGCGGCCGGGTCTCCTCCAGGGTGCCCCCAGAGGCTATCGAATCAGCCCGCGAAGGCCCCAAGCCAGCCTTCAAGCAGCTCAAGAGGGCCGCAAGTTCCCCAAGATGTCCAAACGGCCCAAAGAGCTCTCGAAGAGCGCCCCTGAGACCACAAGACAGCCCCGAAGAAGCCTCAACACTGACCAGGAGTCCCAAGAGATCTCCGAGTTCCCCGGGACCCAGCCATCAGCCACAGCCGGCAGCAGCCAGCAGCAGCCAGCAGCAGCAGCAGCAGCAGCAGCAGCAGCAGCAGCAGCAGCAGCAGCAGGCAGCAGCAGCGGCAACAGCAAGACGCCCCAAGCAGCAAACACCAGTAAAAGGCAGCAGGCAGCAACACGCAGCAACTGGCGCAGCCCAGGCTGTCTTCTGGGAGCGCCCGGAAGTGCCCGGGAGCGCCTGCGAGCGTTTGGGAGCTCCGCTTGGGGGCGTGCGGAGAGCGCTTGGGACCCTTGCGTGGGCGAGCGCACGCATCCCACCCCCACATCAGGATTGTTTTGGGTGGGATGTTCAGATCGCACTGGCGCTGCCTGGGCCCCAGCCCCCACCCGTGCCCCCCCCCCAACAGCCAGCATTAGCAGGCATGGGCAGCAGCAGCAGCAGCAGCAGCAGCAGCAGCAGCAGCAGCAGCAGCAAGCAGCAGCCAGCAGCCCAGGAACCCTACAGTTTTGCAGCAGCGAGTCCTGCCGCCACGACCACAGAGGGCGCCAGGAGGCCGCCAAGACGGCGTCAGCGGGCCGCCTTCTTGGCTCAAGAGGCGCCCGGTGGTGCGGCCCCAGGAGGTGCACCAGAGGCCCCAAGAGAGGCCGCGGCCCAAGAGGGTTCAGATATGCCCCCCACAGGCCCACATTCATTCGTTAGTATATCCGTATGATTCCTTGAAGGATCCGAAGGGTACACTAGCGAGTCAGTGTGGGCCGCTTCCAATGTGTTCGTTGTACTCTTTCCAGGAGCGATGAGTGATTCCTCTCGCTTCGCGGGGTGCACGTCCGGAGTACGTACAGTCAAGTCGTTTTGGGGTTTCTCGGGCGTTTCGTGGGGGCGTCTTGTGCCATCTTGGGGGGCTCTTGCGCTGAACGGTCGTCGCGGGGCCTCTTGGGGGCATCCTGGGAGCCTCTTGAGAGCTTCTTTGGGCATCTTGGGGAATTTTTTGGGCCCTCTCCCCCCTCCCTCCTTTTTCATATTCCCTCCCCATGTTCCCTTCCAGCGCCGGCTCTAATCATGGGCGCCGCCGTGACCAACTTCCACCTGGCTGGCGCTGCGCCGCAGGTCGCCCAGGGGGGGGAAATGACAGTGCACTCCAGTCGCTTTGTGGGGCTTCTATGGGGCCTTTTGGAGGCTTCTTGGAGACTTCTTGGAGGCCTCTTGGGGGCTTCTTGGGGCCCCTGGGGGCCTCTTAGGGGCCTCTTGGTGCCTCTTGGGGGCGTCCTGGGCCGTCGTGGGGCGTTTTTCTGCCGTTTCGTTCCTTCGGAGGCCGTCTCGGGGGCCTCTCGCGGCCGCCTTGGGGCCCTCTTGAGTCCTCTTGGGGCGTTTTAAAGGCCTCTTGGACCGTCTTGGGGGCCTCTTTGGGCCGTCTTGGGGCTCTCTGAGGCCGTCTTGGGGCCCTCTTGGGGACTTTTTGGGTTGTTCTGGGGCGATTTTGGAAGCTGTTTGGGCCGTAAAGGCGAGAACGCTGAAATATCGCCAAAACCATAGGAAGATCAATGAGTTCGGCCTCTGGAGGCGCAGTTGTGGGCGCTTTGGGGCCCTCTTGTGCATTGGGGCTTTTTGGGCCCTCTTGGGCCCATCTTGAGTCGTCTTGGTGCCCTCGTGGCCCTCCAAGAGGCCTAAGAGGCCGAAGTCATAGATTTTCTATAGGTTTTGGTAGGTTCTTGAGCCCGGGAGGGGGTCGCCACTTTGGGTCGACGGATGTGGCGTAGCCCCTGGGGGGGTAGGGGGGAAACATACTAATGTGACACAATACATTTTGTTGCAGTTATGCAATCTTTGGATACATTGGATACGTTGCATTAAGGCGTTCGCTGGAAAACGCTGCCGCTCAGCACGTCACCTCCGGACGTGGATTCCTTTCGCTTCGCGGGGTGCACGTCCGGAGCAAGTACAGTCCAGTCGTTATTGTGCCTCGTGGCAGCCTTGGGGGCCTCTTGGGAGCCTCTTGGGGTCCTCTTGGGGCCTCTTTGGGGCTTCTTTGGGGCCTCTTGGGGCCTCCTGGGGAGGTTTTGGGCCGTCGTGAGGCGCTCTTGCGCCGTCTGGCCCCTGCGGAGGCCATCTTGGAGGCCCGTCGCGGCCGCCTTGGGGCTCTGTTGGGGTCCTCGTTGGCCGTCTTGGGGGCTTTTTGGACCGTCTTGGGGGCCTCTTTTGGCCGTCTCGGGGGTCGTATTGGGGCCTTTCTGGACGCTGCTTGGGCCGTCATGGCCCTCTGAGAGCCGAAATCCTTCAAAACCTATAAGGAAATCAATATTTTTGGCCTCTGGAGGCACTCTTGTGGGCGTTCTTGGGGCCCTCTTGGGCCGTCATGGGGGCTTCTTGGGCCATCTTGGGGCCATCTTGGGCCGTCTTGGGGCCGTCTTGGCCTGTCTTGGGGCCATCTTGAGCCGTCTTGACGTCGGCGTAGACCTCCAGGATGCCCAAGGTGCCCAGATCACCGGTTTCCCGTAGGTTGTTCTAGGTGTTGAAGCCCAGGAGGGGTCCACCACCTTTGGGTCGGTGGATGTGGCGTGGCTTGGGGCGGGGGGCTTAGGGGGGGAGACATAATAATGTAATGCAATGCAATACCAAGCGATTATGCAATCATTGGATACACATAGGATACGTTGCATTAGGGCTTCCGCTCCGCTGCGCGACCTGCCTCTGGCAACACGTCACTTCCGGACGTGGATTTTGTTTGTGGAAGCGCTCTTGGAGGTCCTCTTGGCGCCCTCTTGGGGCGTCTGCTTTTTGGGGGGGGCCCTCTTGGGGCCATCCTGTACCGTCTTGGTCACGTCGTCGCGGGGCCTCTTGGAAGCCTCTTGGGGGCCTCCTGGAGGCCTCTTGGGAGTTTCTTTGAGCCTCTTGGGGGCGTCTTTGTGGCCTCTCCCCCCCCCCTCCCTCCTTTTCATACTCCCTCCCCATATCCCCTTCCAGCGCCAGCTCCAATCATGGGCGCCGCCGTAACCAACTTCCACCTGGCTGGCGCTGCGCCGCACTTCGCCCAGCGGGGAAAAGTGACAGTGCACTCCAGTCGCTGTGTGGGCTTTGGGGGGCTTCTATGGGGCCTTTTTGGAGGTTTTTTCGGAGGAATTTTTGGAGGCCTCTTGGGGGCTTTTTGGAGCCCCTTGGGGGCCTCTTGGGTGCCTTTTGGGGGCCTCTTGGGGCCTCTTGGGGGCGTCCTGGGCCGTCTTGGGGTGTTTTTCTGCCGTTTCGCCCCTTCGGAGGCCGTCTTGGGGGCCTCTCGCGGCCGCCTTGGGGCCCTCTTGGGGTCCTCGTGGGCCGTCTTGGGGGCCTCTTGGACCGTTTTGGAAGCCTCTTTGGGCCGTCTTGGGGCCCTCTTGGGCTGCCTTGGGGCCCTTCTGGGAACTTTTTGGGCTGCTCTGGGGCGATTTTGGAAGCTGTCTGGGCCGCAAGGGCGAGAACGTTGAAATATCGCCAAAACCATAGGAAAATCAATGATCCGCCTCTGGAGGCGCAGTTGTGGGCGCTCTCGGGGCCCTCTTGGGCCGTCATTGGGGCTTTTTGGGCCCTCTTGGGCCCATCTTGAGCCGTCTTGGCGCCCTCGTGGCCCCCCAAGAGGCCGGTCGTGCGCGGCGCGGAACGCCTGCGCGGGCGGGTCGCGAAGGTGGCCGTATCTCCCCCGGGTGCATGCGTGGCCCACATAGACGTTGATGCGGAGCCATTTTCCTGTTGTTGTTTTCGACTGCTTTGATGCTCGGGATTCAGATTGCCCCGCGACTGCTTCCCTTGTGCGTCCGCGCCCGGGTACTGATTGCGGTGGGCGACATGGCTTTCGCCGTCGCGTTGGGCGCCCCCGCGGCCGCCCTGCGCCACGCGGACGGCGCGCACACCTACGGGCAGAAGGTGCGCCTTCTTCTCTGATGAAGCGGTCAAGGGAGCATTGTGGGCGTTCAGATGGTTGGCTCTATTGTACGGGTCCGGGTTTCTTTGGGGGGGAGCGGCGGGAGAGGTGACAAAGCTGTTGTTCGTCGTGGTTGTCTTGAGGTGTACTTGGTGGCGGTGGACGGGCAAGCCCAGCTGGCGCGCCGGGGCCTTGGCCACTACGCCAAGGACAGCACGCCGTGGTTGGCCGCGACGATGCACAAGGTTGGGGGAAGGGGGAGGGTCGTTGGGGGGAGACGGGGAGTGGCAAATTTATAGGTGCTGGCACTGCGTTGCGGCCGCTTCTCCAGGCTTTGTTGCGGGCCATTACCCGTTGTGTCGGTTGCAGCGGAGGCCGCGTTGCCAGGGCGTGGTATTGTCTTACGTTTTTTGTTCCCCACATGCTTCGTGGGGTTCTGGTTTTCTTCCCTGCCGCGCCGCGCCCGCGTCTCCTCACACCTCCCCTCCTCTCTCTTTCTTCCTCCCCTCACTCACGCACACACACACACGCACACTTCACTCTTCCCCCCCTCGTCACAGCACTGCTCAGCTCAACTCACCTCAGCACAGCACAGCTCAGCTCAGCACAGCACAGCTCGGCTCAGTTCAGCACAGCTCAGCACAGCCCAGCACGGCTCAGCTCAGCACAGCACAGCGCAGCTCGTGGCGCTTTCTCGACACCACAGGGGGTGCGCAGGGGTTGGTCTCTCAGCTCGGCCGCTATCCACGACACTGGCGCAAAGCCTAGCAGGCGTGGCA